AAGGCTCAAATCCACAAAATAAATTAATATATACTCATCTAACTCATATAAGACCCTATCCAATATTGACACTGAGTTTTAACCAAGAAATGAGACCAAAATCAATAAAGATAAAAACACAACTGTTAACTTCAATGTCAGGAACCAAACTTTATTCACAAAACTTATAGTTCCTCATTTTTATTGTTCTACTTTTATACATAATAATTTCAGGTCAGATTTAATTCTTAGGTTCAAAGTGGCCATACCTTTGTATTAGAGGTGTAATGAGACATCATTATCTGTATCTGTTCAGCCAATAAAATGATGTGTCTGTATTCAGATAGAAGACCGGTAAATTGTCATGGTAAATTGGTTAATGTTGTATTTTCTAACATTATAATTAGGTTAGAAAATATGAATATTTTAAGCTTTTCAGAGAGCCTCAGACAATAAATATCCAGGTGTATGGTAATGGTCATCATTAGCTGTTTTTTTAGCAGAATGATGATTCACCTCATAAATCATGATGCAATAATCTACACGGAAGTACATAAGCCACTTTTTAATAAAAAGTGTTGTATCATATTGTATCAGCATCAGCAATTTTGGCCCTGTATGACTTGGCATAGAATCAAAACCAAATTTTGTAGTATCGCCCACCCCAACAGTTTGATTGTTGTGCTTTTAAAACAAACAACAACAAAAAAGATTTAATATTGGCAGATACGGACTGTACTTTTCATCTCTCTCTCTCTCTCTCTCTCTCTCTCTCTCTCTCTGGGTTGAACTGGGTTATTTTAACAGAGGAAATTAACATAGATTACACCTACAAACTACAGGTTTCAAACTTCATTTTGATGTATAGGTTGCAGGGATTTGAAAGAATTCCAGTTGCCACACCAGACTTTTTGTCTCGCTACTTTGAACTATACTGCGCACCACTGGTCAAAAGCATGCAGGTCCTGGGTGAGTTTGCTTTATAGACCATTTATAGAAAATATTACAGGTGGGGGTGAGCGGGCTGAAAAGTGACAAAGCAGCGTTCTGAGTTATTAAAAAAACAAAAACACTGGATGCAATAGTCCACCTTCTCTCTCACTCGCTCTTGCTGTCTCAAACAGACACACCTTGAAAAGGGCCACTGTGCTGTCCCTGTCCTTGTCTTAGTCCTTACAATTTTGCCACTGTAATGCATAAAGTTTGCTCTTAATGAGTTGGTATTAATTGGTATTGCTCCCTGCTGTGTGGGGGCCGCTACAGAATAGTGATCACTTTTTAATAATATGTTGTAAATGAAATGACTAATTGGTGAAATCAGAGTCCTATGATCTAACATAATTGCCTTTTTTTTTTTTATCTCGTGGTCATCCACAATGATGTGAATCAATTTGACGAAACAATGAAACACAGACATATAAATCATGATTTTTTTTTAACTGAACAATGACAAGCAGCTTTGGGTAGAATTAATATATGTTTCCACCATATTATCTGTGCTTTCCCAAACAACATAGTCAGATTTGGGTACACCCCCACTTTGCATGATTCTTTTTTTAAATCATATTTTATTTCTATGATTCACTTCAATTCAATTTTATTTATAAAGCCCAATATCACAAATCACAATTTGCCTCACAGGGCTTTACAGCATACGACATCCCTCTGTCCTTATGACCCTCATAGGTCATGAGCAGCTAAAAAGAGACACATTTGTGTTCTGATGGAGCAAAAGCTCATTGAGCAACTTTTCAATGGCCTGCATGAGTTTGACCTCTAATAAAGTGGCATTTGTATCCTGTGCACTGAGTCTTTTTTTGTCCTTCAAACAACAAACTCTGCTGAGCTCAGTGTAGCTTTTAATACCTTGTGAAGATCAGAGGAGGTGACATGAAACGAGCATTAAAAACAGACCATTTGAGGAATGAACCCAGCAAACGTAGTAATAACAAAGTTAATGTTGCCCTACTAATTTATCCTCATGTCCGTACAGAGAGGCTACAGAAAGAGATGAGAGAGGAACAAGAGATCTAGAAACAGACAGACAGGAAACAGCTTAAGTGAGACAGCATGACTCGCTAGTCCAGAGGAGAAAGATCACAGCGCAGGAAAGAGTCAGACGTACACAAAGAGAAGGATGGAGAGAGACAGACCATTGTGTCATCTGGGATCACTGAGCACTGTAATAGGCTTGAGTCTCATCAGTTGGGCTCAGCTCAGGTCGGCTTGGCTGCAGATTTCCTCTGTCTCTCTGCCAACAACAGCACATGGGAATATGATTCTCCAGCAGACCCAGAACAATCCTAGAAGGTCTCACTTAGCTGGCTTTGGGAGAAAAGGAAATAATAGGTTCAAGTTTCCCAGAGGCTTCTTACTGGCATAATATTTGCCCACTGGTTCATAATGGAACTTCAATGATCTTAACACCGGAACGCTCTTGGCAAACCAAGCGCAGGGTATGAGCTCTGTCCTCTGTGCCCATATTATTCTCAGTGTAATTTACTCAAACAGTGCCCAATCTTTTCATGCTGGAGGTTTTACACACCCACTAGTGAAATAATAACCCTTTGATTTGATAGCAACATTTGAATGTCTCTCTTCTCTTGGCTGGGGTAGGAGATGTAAACCCCTGAAGGTTTTACTCATAATACAAGCTAAAGCTTACATGTGTAACATAAAAGCATCTTATACACACCTGTTAGGTACTAAATGGCTATAACATTGTCATATTTTTCAAAATCAAAATGTCTTGAAAACCATATAGCCTTGAAGTAGCCATTAAAAAAAATGCACTGATTTTTAAACTATCTCAGATTGCTTTTTCTTGTTCATGTTATTATGTTTCAACCAGACATATAGGATAGAAAACTGCATTAACAAGATGCTCTCACACAACCTAATTGCCAGAAAAAATGTTGGCATTGTACCTGTCTGCAAACCACACATTCATTACATTTGTACATTGTTATGTAGCAGATACATTGAAACTTTACATTCCAACAGCCCCGTAGTTAACGTGGTTAGGTATAGGCCCAAAAACCACAAGGTTATGGTCAGGAAAAGATCATGTTTTGCTTAAAATTTCAGGTTTGGGGGCACAATCTCTGCCATAAAAGTAGGGATGTCTCTGATAAAACACTCACTTTTCATGGCACTATTTCAAAATAAATGTACTACGTTAGTACGACAACGCAAATTGACATTTTTATCCAACAACAAATGCACATGGTTACGTTTTGTCAACACACGCACGTGGTTGGGTCTAGATAAAAAGAGCAGGGTTTGGCTTTACAATCTTACGGGAAGCAAACACCAGTTTTCCAGGTGAAAGTCCTGGGTTGTTGGACCCATCCACCACCCCTCTCACCCTCGCTACTCGGACCTCAGAAGCCTTAACTTTCGTTTTTGTCTCACTGTGTTTCCTCCTGATGCCACCAGGCACCGTTACACTATAATGGCAAGTGGCCGCACATCATGCCGACATGAAAGGACACCTTTTTTCATCAGTGTCCAATGCTAAAAGTCACTGCCTAGTGCCGGATTTCAACAACTTTGGAGTAAGACCGGGTTGTATAAATGTCTATATGATTTGTGAACATTTGTGGCTTGCAGTAAAGTACAATGCCAACATTATGTTTTGGTGACGGGGCTGTCTCACAATAATGACTTTAAAGGTACACTATGTCGTTTTTTAAAGGAGAAACAGCACAATCTTCCTTTTACAAATCAGGAGTTGAAGTCATAAGTAACAAAACAAACCCCTGTTACAGCCTTACTTGATCTGGCATGACCAGTAGTTTATGGAGGCTCATGTTAGCTGATGTTATTTTGGAGTTGGAGGTGTTCATCAACAGTTTTACAGATGTCTCATTTATACTGTTGTTCTATGGGGAAAATACCTTTTGTCTCTGCAATACCAAGAGAGGCCTCTGGGAAAAATTGTACTGCATGACGTGCTGGCAGCCTGGGTCATACACAGTAAAAGTGTCAACTAGAGTCTGTCAAGACAAACAGTTCAAGTTTCTTTTACAAGCGATCAAGTGGTGCCTGGAGCAGGTCCTGATTGAGGGCATGGAGTTTGAAAGATGTGGACATTTGTCAGCCGGGTCTAAAGGAAGAATGTGCCACTTTAACATATCAATCTGACAAAGGTGATTTGGACTTGGATTTTTTTTAAGGCTCTAACCTATGGAGACCTGATATCTATGGCACTCTGTGCTTGACCTCAGCACTCTATTGAATTTATTACATTTTATGTCAATGCTTTGTGCCATTACAGATAAAACTGATTCAGATGCTTTAATGGTTTTGACTGGCATGTTGTTGGAGGTGATTTTAGGGTTGTGTGAAATGATAGTCCCTTGACAGCTAAAATTATAAACGTATGTAGATAAACTGTGCTTTTTGGGATTTTTTTTTTTTTTTTTGGTTTTGACACAAACTTGCTGTGACAGCTGCAGAATTTGCTGTGGATTACATCTATAGCTGCTTTTGTGTATTTGCATTTTACAGCCGAGCACCACAGAGATACAACTTCTCACCATTTTACAACATGCTCTTATTGGTCTATTCAGCTCGTGATGATCTCTTATCTCTTAACTTGTTCAGGCCACTAAAGAAAGAATTACAATGTAAATGACAATGTGCATCCGTACGTGACACCATACTGTCAGCCGTCAGATAACCACTGTTTCTAAATGACAATGATGCAAATGATGCTTCTGTGAATGTGATGAGCTTCTAATGGTGAGGTGAATGAGTATAACTGCAGATTGAAGCACAGGTGTTTACTTTGTAATGGCAATTCATTAGTATATAACAGCTTTTTTTGTATTCTAATGGCACATGAAACTCCCCCAGCTCCTCAGTCATTATCTCTGCATGCCACTGGGGATAAAGGAGACTGTGGTGAATGGGTTTGCACTGCTCAGAAGGGGTATTGTTAACATTTTAATGACTTAAGAGTACCTAATTTTCTTCTGTTTTCTCTTTCTCCACCTTCCCTTTCTCCACTTCTGCAGATGAATTCAAAGCCCTCCTGAAGCGCCTGCCCACTGACCGGTTCTTGAATGTGTCCATGATCGCCAAGTTCTGGTCGGCTGATTTGTCTCTCCAGAAGCGTTATGCCCAGCTGGAGTCCAGCACTGCCCTGGTCCTGGGCAAAGCCCAGAAGGTCGTCAGGAAACTGTTCACCCTGAGCAAACGCTGCCCCAAACATCCCCGCATCAGTCTGCCCAGAGAGAGGTAACCCACTGGGATGCAATGACACAAAAACAAACCAAATGAAGACATAATTTGTGATTACTGGGAGTTTTGCTGGCTGCTCAGTGCTGATTCATTACAGTTGTAGGCTTTCTAACAGCTCCCCTCAAGTGGGGCACACTGGGAAAACCCAGAGCTATCTGTCGGGAAAGAGCTCAGCTTTGAATTTAGTAAAACCCCAAAAGTTATACACACAGGAAGGTGGGAAACATGCCAGTGGGGTACACATTTGCTCCTTTTAAGCTGATTCCCATCCAAAATGTGTATTTGTAGATTGCTGGCATTGTGATTTCAGCTGTTTCAGCTTTGGGCTGCCTCTGCTGTCAACAGATTGTACAGTAGTAAATATGTCTAACTGTGTAAAACTGTTGGCATCATGACGGAGCAGTAGCAACACTATGTAGATAGCTGTACCCTGTATGTACCTGAATGGATCATCAGTATCAACAGCCCACAACACTCCCAGATGGAGTGGCCTAGAAACAATTTTATGCAAAAGCAATAATCATTACCATTTTATAGAAGCAATATCTGTTTAGATACTGTAATGACTGAAGCAGTTAGTGAAAGCTTTTACATTTGTTGGAGCCTAACAGATGTAGTGTTCCCTTAGGGATGCAAACAAACACAAATACATCATTCAGAAATGCACAGGCAGTGCACTCTGAACAGACACACAAAACAACTGTATTTTTGCAATAATATTGTGCAGTGCAGAAAAAAGCTTGACCAATGGTCCACGTGTATTATTTTACCTTGTGGTCCGATCCTAAGGTCTGGTACCCTCACAACTTAAAAGAAGAAAGAAAACTGATAAGCAGAAGTTAGGGGCTGTCTCAAAAATGCATGCTCGTGGCTCATTTATGTTCAATGCTAGATAGGTGTAGATACCATGTTTATTTTGTCCATATTTACGCACATTTTCTGAGAGCTTATGGATATGGATGAAAGGGAGCAATATGACCAGAGATCGTGGAGGCAGTGTAGCATAGTTCAAGCGAGATGTGACCACAGGAGACAATGACGAAATGGAAATAATGTCAGAATGGTACGAATCGGAAATATAGTATGATTATATATGGTAATCTATAGTGAAATTAGTTAAAATAATTCTCCATTCACGTATCGGTATTGTATTTAATGCCTGCACAGACTACCGCCTTCTACAATGCTGTTTCTGTTTAAAAGTACATTATTGCATCGCCTTGTTAGTTGTTGTGTGAAACTTTTGACTCTGCCTCCAAGTGTCATCTACTGGCAGTTTCTAAGCCAAAATAAAGGACACATGAAAGTATAAGGGCATTGACATTTACAACACTAAATGCACGTAATTATTTTCATGTGTAAGGGGAGTATAAATGAGCCTGAGGAGGCAAGGGAACTTTTCATATGTTAGCAGTAGCTTTCCTTTTTTTTCATATCAGACCAATATATATCTGGACCAACTCTGTTATATTCACAATCTCCTGTTTTTAGTAACATGGCCTAATACAATTCTGACTGTTAAGTATACATTTTTTTCACTTTTTTTCTTTTTTGAAGGTGGAGCTCAGACACAAATCATTTTTCATTATTCAATTAGTTCTGGTACCTGGCTAAAACATCTTGTTAATTAATTGACAGCTAAATGGCACTAAAAAAATGCAGAAAATGAAGCTGATTAGACAATCATCTCTTATAATATGAATTCATAACCTACAGATAGCACAGATAGTAGCATGGCATTACACTCCTTCTCTTCACATGAATTCCCAGTGTTTCCTTCAAAGTGTTGCATTTAGTTTAAAGAGAAACTACAGTTTATTGCTAGTTGGGTTTTAATGTCAGAGGTGTTACACTTGGTTTTATCTCTTATGGTAAAATCAACTCATCAAAGTGATGCTGAGAACACAGCACAAACAACAACAAACACTAGGGTTTTCACCACGCCTTCATGTGGACATTCAGAACACCTACCCAGTCTTACTGAAATACATAAAATGGACACAAACTCTTAACAATACAGTTAGGGATGTCCCGATCCAATATTCGGATCGATATCAGCCACCGATATTAGCAAAAAACGGGCATCGGATCGGACTGCATGGAAAAATGCCGATCCATGAACTCCGATCCAGTTTTTCACGGACTCCGTGCCAGCCCAGCTTTCCGCGATTCAAGCAGTCCATTCCAGTGATCCGCTCCAGCACTTACTATCAATCCACCAGGCCAGCATGCAGACGGCAGACACACAGAGGTTATGAAGAGTAGCGGTCAATTTAGTTAACTGACTATTTGTTTTCTGCTCTGGTTTTTTGAGAGTGATATTTTTATTTGGTTTAAGGCCCGAACATACTCGGGCGGAACGTACGCAGAACAGACTCTGCGAGGAACGTCCGCAGTCATTCGGGCTTCCACAGTCGAGCGCACTTCCGCGTTGTAGTTTCCTGTAAAAATGTCCGTGAAAAATCCCTGCGATGTGAAAAATACATGCCGAGCAGTCACTGGTGCGCGGAGCGGAGTCCGCGCGGTTGTAAAATCTGAGCTTTGCGCGCACAGGGCTTGCGGATGTCTGCTTTGAGTCCGCGCGGACCTCCGCGGAGTCCGTTCCGCGTATGTTCCGCCCAAGTATGTTCGGGCCTTTACACTCTTACTGTTTAAGTAAAGAGCACTGATGGCATTGTTTTGGGCACAATTAGTGAAATTGGAGCCATGGATGGACTACAAAAACACTACTAAAATAACTGAAAAGGAAAGGCTGCATTGTTTGTTAAATGTCAACAATGTTTTGTGGTGTTAATCTTTTTTTTATTTATTAGGGGAGCAAAGCAAGTGTGTGGAGTCTTGCTGCTATTTTAATTTCATTGTTAGACATTTTAAAGATTTCTTGTGTTGATTTATTTTCAATTTATTAAGGGGCCAAAGCAGCCAAAGCAAACCAGCTATATTTTTTATTTAATGTTAATGTTCAAGTTTAAAGTTTGTTTATTTAACCCTGTTAACAATAAACAGGTCAGTTTCTCATACCAACTGTTGTGGATCATTCTAACCCGATTAAGTAGTTGTTCTTTGCTTGATCAAACCTTTTCTAACATGACTGACAACAAAATAAGTGAATATGTATAATACGCGCTTGGATCGTATTGGTATCAGTATCTGCCAAAACTCAATTCTGTAATATCGGTATCAGATCTGAAGTGAAAAAGCTGGATCGGGACATCCCTAAATACAGTACTTGCCAAGCATTTGCCAATGCAAAGTCAATGAGGGTCTTGTCATGGTGGTCACAAAAATTAAGTGTATGGGAGGGCTGGTGGGATGGGTGGTGGATGGGTCAAACAAATATGGACTTTTAACCAGGAGACTGCTGTTTGTGTCCTGTGTAAGCAAAAGTCATTATGCAAGTTATGTAACTTTAGGGACTTTGTGTAATGAAAAAAAGTTCTTTACGTAGGTACTTTATGTAAGTACACAGAGTACGTAAGTTTACCTCAGTTACGTCCAGTACGTACTTATTTTAACTAAAACCACAATCCTCCCTAAATCCCTGCACCTAACTACAGCTGTTTCACAATGTTAACCATGTGATCATGCATTTGAAACGCAGATGTTGACTTTGCTTTGGCATGTTGCCAGCATGTCATTTTATGCACACTTCATGCACGCAACCGTTTAATTTGTTGTTAAGACACCATGTCCAGTTAACATATTCCTTTGTAACTGTGTTATCATTTCCTACCATAGCTCTTACTTTTGGGCTCGCTACATAACAATCACAGAGACTCTCCTCTCAGCGAAGAACAAGAGCATCAGATGTTTCACCAAGTACCCAAAACAACATACCTTTATGTTCAAGAGATAGAGCCCTCTAGTGGCTGTAGTAATTGTGACAGGAAAAGAGGAGGAAGTCAGGTGACATGATAGAGCAGCAAAGTCTGACTTAATCACAGGAGATTCTTTCCTGCCTCCTGGTTTTTACACATGATGGCAGTTGTCCTTTAAACTGTAAGTCTTTATTATTGTAACCATGATGATGAAGAAGGTCCCCTAACCTTAGTGAAGTAGTCATTTATGCTTCCTAAATCTAGCCAAGTTGCTTTTGTGCCTAAATCTATGTGTTGTTAATTCAAAACTATTTCATTTTCATCACAAATTTGTTAAAGTTTTGTAAATTATGTTCTGCTGACAGGGGCATCAAAACAGAACACACCTCTATGTGTAATTCAGGGATCACGGACAAAAAACATTATTTGTTGTTTAATTCAGAGAACTTGGAACAAGCACATTACTTTCTACATTGGCACTGAATGTTGGCACTGGATGTTAATTGTGAGCTGCAGAATCGTCCAATATAGATGTAACTCCAGGGGATAGTGGGAAATGTGTTTTAATGCACAAATGTGGAGGTGTTTGGAAACATACCTCACTGCCACTGCAGCTGAACTGACAAAGAAACGAGCACCACTTGTTGAAAACACCACCTCCTAATAATCTGACAGGCTAACTGACTCCCTTTACCTGAGTGAATTCTACACCTGTGCTTGACTTCTGAGCAAAGTACCCCTGCAAGCTTCACTCAGCTGTCATTACGTGGCAATGTTGTTGCCGTGCCGAAGGCAAAAAAAAAAAAAAAAAAAGAAGACAAGCTTGTGAAACGCAGGTGTAAAGAGAGGGAAGGGAAGCTGAGTAAAAGAGATGTGAGAAAACGCAGGAGGAATAAAGAGACAGGGGAAGGAAAGAAAGTAAGAGAAGGCTGGACATGGAAGAGAGATGTGATGGCGTGATGGAGACTTAGAGAGAGCGAAAGAGAAAGTGTGAGAGAGATGAAGGGTCGAGTTACCGGTGGCGAGAGCCTTTGTGTGGTAAGGTACGCGGCATTCTGGCATGCTGTAATCAAGTCCTCTCCTGGGCCGACAGCTCGGCACTTGTTTACAGAGGACTTTAATTTCCCTGACAGTCCTTTTCCTCTACCCATCACTACACACACACACACACACACACACCCCACACACACACACACACACACACACACACACACACACTCTGTCTCACTCTCTGTCTGTATTTCTCGCGTTCAGTCACCTTTGTGTTCCCTTGCTCTCCCTCTCTCTGTCTCACCCCTGTCACTCAGAGTCTTAACCCCCTTCATACCGGCAACAACAAGTTATCAGGGGCTGCTCAGCTGCAAAAGCTCCGTATTTTCTTCCGCACAGATCCATTTGTTTTATCATCATTCATTTTTGTCTATTTACATAGGCCTGAGGGGAAGGAATTGCTGGAGCATTTGGGCAATATTGTGTGTGATTTCCTGAACTTAGCCCGGGGATAGAATCTCTGCAGAGCCAATTTTCAGTCTGAACATCGCTGCTGTTACCGCACCAAAGTGGATGGTAATTTATGTATGTCTGCATTTTCATCTCCACTGCAGTCATACCAAACACCCACCATTCTATAAGAAAAGGGTGTCAAATAACCATAGATAAACAATCCAATTTTTCCAAGTAATATGGAAGGAGCAGACTGTGAATTATTTTTTCACCTATGGAATGGGATGCATATGAGGTAAACAGTTGTGTAGTTTAGGGAAATCCTCGTTTAAGACTCTTAGTCAAGATTTTTCATTAAAAAAAAAAAAATACCCCCTTAAAGTCTAGTTTTAAGAGGTTACGCCTCTGTGAAGATTTTAAAAGAGGGAAGGATAAGAGCATAGAAGGAACATGTGGGGTGTAAAATAGGGGAAGGGAATCACCCCTCACTACCAAAAACACAAACATTAACACTTAACAGTAAGGCGCAGAAAATTCACACCATAAACCCCAATTCGCTCACTCAACTTAAACATTTTTTGGAAACAGCTTGCACTCAAAACTTTTAGTTTAGTACAATACAGTAACATAACATTTTTAAGTACACCATACACAAAATAATGTGTCACATGGCCCTAATCTGACAGGAGTTTTATGTCAGACTAACATAACTTTTTTTTGGTGTTGTTCATTGAGTATTTAATTCTATGTCCTATGAACATAACAACGCTGAGTAACCATTTTTAACAGCCATTTTTAGTTTCATTGAACCATAAAAATATATGTTAAGTGCACAGTGATAGTGTTGTTAATTGCTGTTAAACTAATTAGACTAATGCCAGGTTCACACTACATGATATCAGCCCAATTGCAGCCCGCAGCATTGTACGGTGTTGGCTTTGATTGCGAACAACAAAAAGTGTTGTATGCAATAATCCATCGTTTCATCTCGTGTAGTGTGTCAAAGTAGGTGACAACTGATGCTGCTTCTGTGATGTCTCACGACGTCCCAACAGAAGGTCTAGCATGTTTGATTTTCTTTTTGTCGTTCACGACTTCTTCCGTCACAGCCGTCACTTTGACCAATAGAAACAGAGAGCAATCTGCTGCAATAGACAACTGTATGGCAACAACGCTCCAGCCTTTTTGATATTTCCACTAGGGATGTTACCACGACAGAGTAAAAGGGAAAAATTTGGGCATGAAACAGCAGAGGCACTTTAACAACCAGGTGAGTAGTGCCATTAGCATCAAACTTGCAAAAAATGTTATTACTTCATAATGGAGAAAGATATAAAGGAATAAAATTTTAAAATAGTGGCAGGGCTTTTACTGACCACGACTGCAGAAGGTACCAGCTTCATTTGAAACAGACTACATTACTTTATTTAATATTTTCCTCTGTATTTTTCTTCTTGTACTTTTAATCTGCTCCCTTTTGCCTTATTAAAGTTAATGCATCGAGTCGTCATTTCAAACTCAACATATTATGTATCTGTTTAAAATAATTACGATTGAGAGAATCCCTTCATTTTCTAAACAGGCTTTTATTGTGAAACATTTGCAGGAACTTGTTTTGGAAGATTCAGTGACTTGCATTGGTTGCATACAGTGCTTCAAATGTGCCATGTAGTGGTGCTTTTTACATTATTTCAATAACATTTCAGCGGTGACATGAACAGACACAGAGACTGAAATAACATTAATAATAATAAAAATAGGTCAACTATAACCAGATGACATCATGCGTGTTGTGAAAGATGACCAGAGGTGAATGGTGGTTGACCAACGTGTAGTCTGTCATGTCTGTCGGCCAATTCACAGTACAGTTTTATGACTCCACAATCACCTAATCTGACATAGTGACTGTCGAAATGGACGGAAATGTTGTGCAGTGTGAACTTGGCATAAAGGAGGAATAAAGGAGGAATTAAACTATGGAAGATTTAAAAGGAACAAAAGTTAGAAACAAAAAAATGAAACAGAAATTAAATTAAATATAGCACATATAGTTATTGTATGCGGGGATGCTATGTTTATGCCAAAATAAAAAACAGTCAACTGTCCAATCACAGCTCTGAGGCGGAACCATGGGCTTTCAACACTAAACGAGCATTGTGCCAAGAACATCCTGTTGAGTGTCTGTACAGCTTCTGCTTCTAGCAGACCAGTCCGTTCTTTAAAAGTGAGGGCAGTAAATCACAAATGTAACTACATGTACAGCCAATAGCAGTGTCCCTCTGACTGGCTACCCTACAGGAAACAGTTTCAAAGGCTGTCTGTCATGGCTCAGGGTTCCAACCCCAAGCTGTGATTCATAAACTTTGAAATATATTTGTGCACACAATGAGGACTGTGGATTTTGTCCCTTCACTTACATTGCATCACTTGCTTGCTTTCACAACCATCATTAAAAGCAACAACTGTTTCATGTGGGTACCTTACTGTTGTTTTGATACTGACTTCAAAAATGGTGAACCTGTCTTTTAAACAACAGATCTGCATTTTATTTTATGTAACTGTCTGTGTACGGATTAAACAAGCAAGACACAGTGTGTTAATTAGTGGACTTTAGAGGTGATGGTAAGCATATATTTTAAGAGAGGACAGACTCAGCATAGCTGTTTACCCCTGCTTCTAGCCTTTATAATAAGCTGAGCTGCTTGCTCCCAGCTCCAGATATGACATTTGTATTGATCTTTTCATCTGACTTTGAGAAAGAAAGGAAACTATTACTTTAAGTTACGCTGCACAGGTTGTTGTCAACTTACAACAATACTTAATCTTTCAAACTCTGGCAGATGATGATGTCGCCATCTGTCTTCACTGTCAGAGCTTTCAACCCCTCGGGCTCCAGGCTGCCCTGACGTTCCCATTCTTAACCTGGACTACAAAGTTCTGATTGGTCGTTCCATCCGTGAAAGCAAGTGTCAATGAAACAACACCAAACTTGTTTGTATGGCTGAAAGAATCTGCGATGAAGGAAGCAATTTAGAGGAAATATTAGCGGTTTTCCCCCTCAAAAATAATTACTTTTTTCTCCAAAAAAATTCAAACTTTATTCTTGAAATATCATGTCACTTTTCCTTGTAATACTACAAATATGTGACAATCTGCCATTGTAGTTATGAGATCAACCTGTTATTTAGTATTGAAATTTTCCCATGTGACCAGTACTGTCTTGGTAATAGTTTGGGGTGATTGGGAAAATTAGCTGTTTAAGTAACATAAGAACAACAAGCTGGCTACCAATAGTTGAACTCTGATGCAGTGATGTACAGGTGTACTCAAGGGCACATCTATCATTTTTCCAACTGACTTTAGATGAAACCAGGCCCACCTGTGCATGCCAAAAGGATGCTGCCAAATGTCAAGTTCTGATGATTGGCTGCCATCCTACTGCAGCAAGAAGTGCTTGCTGCGGAACACAATACCCTGTGCAAGGGTACAGCTCGAGTTCAATAGTGGCTTTGAACACCATTCTTTCCAAGAAACACTGAAGAACTCTGGCCCCTTCCCATCATTCTCCTTAGAGACAGGACTTTCAATGAGGGTTTCGATGCACCTCCACGTCCTTTATGTAACTATGTGTCTTGTTTATACATTATGTCTCCCCTGTGTTTATCTGTTTTTACTAACAGTACCAAGCTGAATTGGAGTGGCTGCAGCTGTTAAAGGGAATTTTTTCAACCAGTTCTGTCATTGCAGTGTGTGCAGATGAATAGTGTTTGGCTTCCCTTTCATTGGAAGCACCTGGAGCTCCCTGCTCATTTACCTGTGGACGTGCTCTGTGATGACACAGAGCTGGTTGAAAATGTGTATATTGCTTTTTTCTGTAGCTGTCATTTTTTGCAGAGACTGACCTGCAGTCACAGGACTTCCCCCACCAGATCAGCAAACTTTCTGGGTGAGGCAGGGGTACAGCGAGTACATCTGTGGTTAGGCTGGCTAGCTAGCAGCAGTCTCTTTCAAAGGCCCTGACTAGCAGTAGGCTGGCAGACAAACATCAGGCATTGACGCCTGGAAGTCCGCTTTCATCATGGCGAAGTGAGACTGGTTTCATCTAAACTAGGTTGGAAAAACAACAGACGCCTACAGGACGCTGTAACAACCCAGTCACACTCATCGGCGATGCTGGGTGTGGTCAGAAGCGAAACAGACTTAAATCTCTCGACCAAACAGGGATGTAAGACACCGATTTTCAGCTTGGAGATAAATTGCTCTTTACACAGTAAGCTACTCTGTTTTCTGTGTTGGAATATGTAGTACTGTATACACAACTACACTGATGTGTTTTTTCTTTCCCCTCTGCAGGCCCGTTGGGTTTTGGTTGCGCAGAGCTCAGTCTCTGCTCTACTGCAATGAGCATGGAGTGCTGGGCTCCTTCTCTGAGGAGGTGAGGAGCTGCAGCTGCCCTGGTGAGCAGGCCACCTGCCAGGGAGTCATTCCGTGCATTGTGGGCACCTCCTCCACCTCATGCTCCTCCTGCGCTACTGATAATGCGACCCGCTGCGGAGCCTGTCACCACGGCAACGTCCTCCATCTGGGTTCCTGCAGGCCGAGCATCGCTGCATCCCTGGACCACTATCTGAACTTTGACTTGGACATGCCTGATGCTGAGGTTCTCAAACTTTCTCATATTTGTTTACCACTGGTTCTCAAATTTTGTGGAGCAAATAACTGAGTATTTCTGACTACACGAAAGAGCATGACAAAATGAAAGGACACATCTATAGTGGTTTCAACCCCAGTAATTATCAACAGTGCGTAAATGTTAGTATTGTAGTTCTACGTGGATGCTACAGTGCTGCAAAATGCTGCATCTCTTACAGAAACAATAATGAATTATGGCAGTATAAGTTGCCCATATAAGTTGACCGTATTTAATAATCTGTTTTATTAATTCTCCCTGTCCCAGACTTAGAACATACTTGACATGCAAGGGTACGCACACAAGTTAATAATAAAAGCAGTGTCAGTGAGAAAAGTGAGTTCAGTCAAGCAAAACCCTGCAGTGTTAGGGAGTTTCAAAGACAGATCTGGCTCAGAATTCATTTTACTGTGTTTGCAGTGTCAGAAGAGAAGCTTCCTCCAGAGACAGGGGGTAGCAAAGAAATATTTAAGGGATTTAATAAATTCCATTACTGAATCTTCTTTTCAGTGTGATAATTAATGCATTGTATAATCAATTATCCTTTGATATAACGCAGGGCCGAAAAAAATGTAAATACAGGTTTCATGCTGTTAACAAAACAAACTTGATAAAATATTTAAGTAAGTATTTTTCTATAACATTAATAAGACGTCAGTTTACGTTTCATGAGAAGTACTACCTAGCCAGTAAGAAAAAAGTTGCGAAACATCCTTTAGCTGTGGAGGAGCTTTCTAATAAATACAGTCGGTAGACAGTCAAAGTAAGGGAGCATGGTGAGGACAGAGTCCGTGGGGAGGACACAGTCCTTCACCCCCAGCCTATAAATGTTGGGAAAGTGCAGTGTAATAGACAAGCATGTTTTAGTGATTTCCATGCCTGTTTCAAGACAGTATAGCAGAACTAACATTACTCAAAACCATTAGCCTGTTTTGATGATGTGCTATAATGTTATCAAGCAGGAACTACAGGTCCTTGGAGGCTCACAGCTCTAACACTGCTTGGGTAAAGCATTCTTTTTTTAAACCAGTGTGGTGGCAAAACAGCTATTTAATGAACAGTTTAAAGAAAAAGTCTTCACACGCCGGCTGTCTTTCTTGAGTTTTAATAAGCAGTCATGAATGGAGTCACACAGTTAGTGAGTGAGTGCCTAGATGTTCTTCAGCCATGCTATCTTTATAGTTCCCATAACACATGCACATCGATAGTCTAAATATGTGGTGCCTTGACATTCCTAAGACCTCCTTCCTCCTTCCTCTTGAGACTAACAAGGACACTTGGTGTCTGAGCTTCCCTGGCTTGTAACCTTGGTGTCTCAGACAGCCCTGAAATCACCATCGCCAAACTCACCAGAATCCATTTATATAAACAGTAATTTTAGCTTGTATAGAGCCAGCATATTTTCACATCTAACTGAGTGATATATAAGGGTTAATAAGGATTTATTTCAGAGTTAAAACGTATTTTAAAATGATGAACTGGTTTGTTTTATGATGATAAAATTACTGTTTATTTAAGTGCGGTCTGGTGGGTTTGACAATAGCAATTGTGGGGCTGTTTCTGGTTAAACAAAAATAGCCTACTCATTACAAAAATGTTTATCTCTGTTGTCAGACACTTAGAATAATAATCTGAGCCTGTCAGTGGCAAAAAAAGGCCCTTTCAGTGGGAGTAAACTGACATTGTGAACAGCCTGGCCGCTGCTCTCGTGCAATGCAGGACCAGTTTCAAAAAATCTTTTCTCCATTAGTCAGAAAACAGACACAAAAACATAGGAAAAATAGAATTCAGGGTGAAAAATACCATTTAACTTGGGATTTTTTAGTTTATTTGACATGTAGAAATCCAAACAGCAATTCTGTAGCATGGTAGCTTTGTTTTCCCCCTCGGTGTAAAAGGATGTGACTTTTTGAGAGTGTTCTCATGAATACCCACTGCATCTATGTCTAAGAAAGTAATCTTGATGATGTAACCAGTATCATGTTGTTAGCTTGGGTTTGGGGTCTCAGGATTTATAACAGAAAGCCTGCGTTACAAACCTGAAGGCATATACATAGATATATAGTTTGAGAACCAGTGTGTAAATGATCTACCATATTGTTATCTACCAGTAACAGTGAATGTAATCTCACAGTGTTTTTTATTTCCTCTTCAGGTCAGGTATCTGCTTCAGCGACTGGACAGCAGAATCGAGGTCCACGCTATTTACATCAGCAACGATGTCCGCCTGGGGAGTTGGTTCAATCCTGCCTGGAGGAAGAGAATGTTGCTGACACTCAAGAGTAACAAAAATAAGTCCAATCTCATCCACATGCTCATGGGCATTTCTTTCCAGATATGCTTGACTAAGAATTCAACACTGGAGCCTGTGCCTGCGATTTATGTGAATCCTTTTGGGGGAAGCCACTCAGAGAGCTGGTTCATGCCGGTGAACCAGCCTGATTTCCCTGACTGGGAGAGAACTCGACTGGACGCCGTCGTCACGGCACAGTGTTACAACTGGACACTGTCTCTGGGAAACACATGGAAGTCCTTCTTTGAAACAGTGCACATCTACCTGCGAAGCCGCATACTCACAGATGATCCAACGGTGAATGAAACTCTCTTCTATGAACCGCTGGACCTGGATGACCAGACATCCAACATGGGGTACATGAAGATCAACACACTGAAGGTGTTCGGATACAGCATGCACTTTGACCCTGAGGGCATCAAGGATCTGATCCTCCAACTGGACTACCCGTACACGCAGGGTACGCAGGACGCCGCCTTTCTGATGTTGCTGGAGATGAGAGACCGGATTAACCGGCTGTCTCCGCCAGCACCGCAGCCCCTGGACCTGTTTTCTTGTCTGCTGCGCCACCGACTCAAGCTGTCAGCCGGAGAGGTGGCACGCATCAAGGACTCTCTGCAGATCTTCAACTCCAAGCTTCCAAATGCTTCTCCAGAACCTGAGCTGGCCCAGCTGTGCAGCTAGCTAGCTCAGCACGCAAGTCAGGTTCAGGAGTGATGTTACGCATAAGAGAGTGGAGTTGCTGCTAGACTGAGCAGAGGAGGTCCTACTGAGCTAGCGTCTTGGATCCAAATCCTCTGAACAACCAATTGTAAAGCCTGACTGCTGGGCTTTTCTCATGGTCACTCTTGGCTGGTTACCTGGTGTCACATTTTTACAGAAATTGTTACCAGAGCCCTTTGATGAACACTTGAGTCATGTTGGACTTTTGGGAGAACAGCTGATACTTGGACTGTCTTTCAGAGGCTCTACTGTACGAGCCTGGAGGCTTACTTTTGCTATTACTGCCCCACTTTTGGCAAACTGTAGGACTGGACAAAGTTAAGAGACTCTCTTACTGCGACAGGTTTTGTGATGTGGAACCTCAGAGAGCCGATGTCATTAAGCATACCTAAGACATCTGCCTTGCAAAGATAAAGGCGGTTTTGATATGTAAAGAGGAACTCTTAAGGGGTCTTCAAAAATGAGTTAATGGAAGAGAAGATTTCCCCTTTTCTAACCCTATTTTCTTTGGCTACAGAACAATCTCGTGGGAAGGGAAAATGGGATAATATTATATACAGTATGTGGTGAATGAGTTGTTATGTTATGCTTAACAGTTTCAAATTTGATAATCCTGAACCCTGTTACTGTCTTTGAATATTTCTTTTTAATCCCTGCCTTCCATTTTATCTGGCATTTGAAAACTTGTAAGTATCTATGCTTAACATCCGAGTGAGAAGCCTGTTAGTGATGTTCTGTCCTTGGTGGTGTGTCTATACCAAAAGACGGTGAGCACATTGGCAAACTGAATGGCAAAATATCTTCAGTGTTCAGTTATTTTTTTTGAGCTGAAGAATCATACGGAATTCTTCTGATGTGGTAACAAAAAGGTCTGAGGATACAGCGCTGTAAATAACGCTCCATCTAACCCCAGATGTGGACAAAGTGCACATTGCTTTTTAGATAACCGAGTGCAAAGACCAAAAAAATGTTTATAACAAAACAAACTCATGCCTTATATGGAGAGTCAATGTTAAGATAAGAAGCACATTTAGTTTCTGTGTTTGATTTCCCAGAGGAGGCTGTATTGCTTTTTATATTTCAATATTTCTACCAAGACAGAACAAACAGACACATTCTCCAGAATACGTGGTAATGTAGCTTTTCCATGTAAATGCCAATCACACTTTCTGCAGTTACTTGTTTTGATTTGGTGTTGTGAAACTTTGAGTCACTATTCACAGTGCACACCAGTACTTGCATACTGTAATTGTTCTGCAAAATCCTTCTATCTCCAATTAGACGAACTCTGAGTAACTGACTGAACATGATTGATTTTATGGTTTTAAAAAGGTTTTCGATGGTTTAATTTAGTCTCAGGTCAATGAAAAGAGATTTTTTTTTTTGTTGATGTTTTTTTTTTGTTTTGTTTTAACATGTGGGTCCAATGTCAGCTGCCAGCGACTGGAGTTACAAGGTTTCTGCAGGGTAGTGATGGTCCTCTTGAGAGCTGCAAACTTACCAGGATGATACTTGATATGATTCTAGATTTACTTCACTAATTTCTCACTGAAAGTCAGAAAACCTTGTATGTCATTTTCAGCAGTTCTTCTGTGCTCAGCTTGCTTAAGTAAAAACAAAGTGGTTTATCTATCTGGGATCCTTTTCCTTGTTTGCTTTCAACTCTCACTGTTATAACATGTGTACTATAAAATAACACATTGATATATATTACACAACAGGTTGTCTTTGGTGTGTTGACGACTCCTATCCAGATTTTTTCCATTGTCCTCACCATGTGAGAACCCAGTGCAGACACAGAGACAGATTTGCTTAGAAAAAAAGTGCAGTGCAAATGTGCGCAGGTGGTGGAAGAAGATGGTGTTGATACAACTGATGTTTCTCTAGAATATTGAGGGAAATGCAGCCAAATGCTCATCAAAAGGAAGAGTGCAGTTTCTAGCATGTAGTGACTTCACGGTTTATTAAACATTAAATTCAAATGCAAGTTTAATGAACCCAAAATCCCTTGCTGTTACAAAGTACTCAGATGCTGTGTTAATTGACAATTATTACTTCATTAGTTTATATTTATAGGCCCATATTTTTAAAACATTTTTAAATGTTAACCAATAGACTGCAGTGCAGCTCTCAGGACTGTAGAAACAATTTTGTGTGTTTATATACAAAGATCAGCCAAAACATTAAAAACACCGGTAGGTGGAGTGAACATTGATCATCCAACTCATTCTCATTCTGAAGTCGTCAAATACCCCCACTTTGTCAGTGATTTCAGCGTCAGATACCTACACCAAAAGCCACCGTTCACAGTGTTATGATACAACTCCAAACTTTCTTGAAGACAATGACTCTCCAACTTTATCTCCATCTTTAATATGGGAAACTGGGAAGGCAGTAATCAGAGGAAAAATTATATCATACTCCTCCTACAAGAAGAAAAAGGAATTGCAAGCAGAAAAAAACATTGAGGAAAAAATTAAACAACTAACACAGGAATATGCAAACAATCCAAGTGATCAAGTATGGACCCAATTACAGTGTACAAAATCGCAACTGGACAATATTCTATCAAAGAAAACTGAATTTATCATACAGCAACTAAGATATAATAATTTTGA